TTTTTTTTTTTTCCTCCTACTGCTCAAGGCTGAGGCCATTTTATTTACACAGCTGAATGTATATTGAGTAAATCTGTGATCTTGCCATAAAAATACTAGGAGTTTTTCACATGAAATGTTGCCAAGACAGGGGATTGTATCTTTTGGTAGTTATGGTTTATTTTCAAGCTTAACTCTCAGAGGGTTACTACATTTTCCTGGTATGCAAATTTTTTATGGATTTCCACATATTGCCAACTATATACTTACATGTACACTAAGTGACATCTTAAAATATATGAGGGAGCTATACAAATGTTTGGAGTCCCTGGGTGGTGCAAATAGTTAACACATTTGGCTGCTATCAGTCCACCCACAGGCCCCTGAAAAAAGGCCTGGTGATCTGCGTCTGAAAAATTAGCCGTTGAAAACCCTGTGGAGCACAGTTCTACTCTGATATACATGGGGTTGCCATGAGTCAAAATTGACTTGACATCAACTGGTTTTACACAAATATGTTTGGATTAGAACATGAGTAAGGCTGCCATTGCAGAGAAAGAATGAAGCAAATAAAATTAAGTTCACAAAACTAACGTTCTAGTTAAAGTTCCCAGTGAGTAAAAGGAAACACTCTATTAAGTAGAAAATACTTCCTAAAGTGGTCAAAATGAGTGAGATATGAGTGGAAATATATTATCAAAAAGATAACATTTGGGATTTAAAGACCCAAAAAACCAAACCAGTTGCCATTGAGTCATAGCAACCGTATACGACAGAGCAGAACTGCCCCATAGCGTTTCCAAGGAGCCCCTGGTGGATTTGAACTGCTGACCTTTATGGTTAGTAGCCATAGCTCTTAACCATTACGCCACCAGGGTTTCCTGGGATCTAAGAACTATTTAATAAATGAATTTGAAAAATGCCTGGACTACTGCTATTAGGTATTCCCCATTCCCCCATCCTGTGTTCTTCCTTCCCCGTCCTAGGAAATCTGAAGGTAAAATTAACTTTTCTGCTAAGCTTACACTGTTCCTGCTGATAAACAGGAAAAGGAAAAAAACACAAAATGTTTTAGTGTGGTAGTGAGAATTAGCTATTCATCCAACGATAATTATCCTGAGTATTATTCTAGGAATTGTTAAGATGCACATTAAGACCCATTTCCTCTGTTGAATCCATATAATTCCAACCATTCCATTTCCTATCTTCATTATAGTTGGTCACCGTTAATGCAAAATTTAGTACTTTAGCATATATCACTTTGTTTTGTTCTCTCATTTGGTAACCAAAAGAGTGTAAGCTCGTTGAGAGCAAAGTTTATGACATTTGCATAACATTTAACATAGTTCTAAGGACAATGTACACAATAAAGAACAATCAAATTGACTAGCGCCTCATATGGCTTCTGTTTGTGATTCATTTAGACCAAGGTGAAGAGCTTTAACAAACAGGGTGGTAATGAAACCTTTTTTTCCAGAAGTTAATTGAGGATGTTCCAGAATTTTCCTTAGCTTCTTCCATGTCGCTGTGTTCCCATTTTACACGTTTATCGGTTGTGTGGACATAGCTAGGAAATAAGGGCAATCGACTGGACATTAATGGTTTTTTTTTTTCAATAAAAACATTTACATTAGTAACCTTGGTGAAATGCCTAGATCCATGCTTCTCATGTTTTCTTCAAAGTTTATCAAAAAACAAACAACAAAAAAGTATGGGAAGAAGACTTATCTGCAGCTTTGACTCAGTATATTTAAACACCAGTCACACACACAGTGTTGAAGGTGAAAGTTGAAACTATTGAAAGGGCTTATTTTTTTCACTCCGAAAGCTGATATTACTCCAGAGCTGATATTACTTGCTTCATAACACATTTTACCACGACCAAAACGTTATGGCAAAGGTAAATAGTAAGGAACAAAATCTTTAACATTAGAAATTTTTTTTTTGAAGAATTCCTTAAAAATCCAATATATTTGACAAGATTGGTGGGAAATGGGGTTTCCGCTAGGAGGGAAGCTGGAGGTGCAGGTATAAATGTCAGTACCCAGCTGTTTATGTCATAACCTGCAGAAGGCGCGACGCACTGGTTGCTATGGAGGCGGTCCTCCTCCATCCCCCGGTCTTTCACCACCCTCCTGTCTCTGGCCCGCGGCCCTCCCATGCTCGGTGACCCGCCTGGCAGGCTGCAGGCAGCGCAGTGCCATGGGAGAGCTGCTGGCGGGGGGCGGTGGGATTCCGGTGCACCATGAGCTTCGGACCCGGCCCCATTCTGGGCCCGTGAGCACTGAGCACGCCGCCCTCCCAGCTTGCATTTCTCCCCAGGTTTCAGCTGCGGAGGTAGTAGCAGCTGGACAAGAAGCCTGATGCCGGCGCAGGGCCACCTCTCTACCGATAAGCAACAGGGACAAAGCAGCTCCGCTCGTAGTGCCGCTGAGTGGCTTCCAAGTGAGCGTCTCCGCAAATCCACGGGTAGAGGGCGTGAAGCCGGGCACGGCGCGGAGGGCCGGGAGGAAGAGGAGGAGCAACGGGAAAGGAGGGGCCGCGGCGGGGGAGAGAGGGGCGGGCGGCTCTGGGATAAAGTGGGCGTGGATGAGGGCACTGCCGGGCGGCCGAGCGAAGGGAGGCCGCGGGCAGAGCCGCGGGGTGGGTGAAGGAGCTGCGGCCCTGTTGAGGAGCCAGGTAACGGAGTGGTCTCCGGCGGGAAGCTGCGGCTTGCCGGAAGGGTGGGGGACCGATGGTGGGCGGGAGAGGTGGGAGGCTGCCTGGCCCTCCCGGGCGGGCTCCGAGCCAGGGTGGAAGCGAAAGTGAAGCCAATCGCTCGTTTTTCCCCGGGCCCCATGGCAAGCACCTCCCTCCCGTCCTGCCCCTGCCAGTGGCTTTCGCGAGGTGCAACCCCAGGAGGTGGGCCCGCCCTCCGCGTGTGCGGCTGCCGCGTCCTGGCGTTCGGGCTCCGCCCCCGCCCCGCCCCCTCTGGCGCGAGCGACTTCCTGACGCGGATTCCCCTCCCCCTCTGGGTTCGCGCAGGGAGTCGGGCCCCGGGCCGCCACCGCCACCTCGGCCATTGCCGCCATCGCCTTGATCCCCCATCCCCCGCCATGGCCGAGGAGCTCTCCGCGGCCACATCCTACACAGAAGATGATTTCTACTGCCCCGTCTGTCAGGAGGTGCTCAAAACGCCTGTGCGGACCGCGGCCTGTCAGCACGTGTGAGTAGACGCCCCCGCCCCCGCGCGCAGCCGGGTGGTCGTTTAGGCCCGGCATCCGGCCCGGGAGACTTCGGGCGCGGCCTGGAAAGACCTAAGCGCCGCTTGGCCCGGAGGGCTCGCTCCCAGCCTGTCGGAGCCCCGGCCCGCCCTCATCCCGGGCTCCGGCCCGCTCCTGTGCCCGGCCTGTCGCCGGGCCCCGAGCTCGCGTCCCGGGGTTCCCTCATTTTCCCGCCCCTGAAGGTGGCTGGGCTCGCCCCTGTGTCGTTTCCAGGCCCCGAAGGCCTCCCTCCTTTCCGCCGGGCCCGGCAGGAATTGCAGGGAACGTGGATCCTTTTTGTTTCCTAGCAACTGAGTGAAGGCTGAGGTGTCGAGTGTCAAAACCGGCCGAAGGTGCCCGCACGTTCCCGCAAGCCCCACTCCGTGACCTGCCCAGTTTTAAAGTTTTTTCATTTCCTTTCAGAACCATGGTATACCCCTTGTACATCCAAGAGTCCTTACCTAACTTACCTTTCAACGCTGCTTCACAGACCACCCTTGGAAGTGTTTTGTTTCGTTTAAAATTCGTTGCATATTAGAACTGGTGTTGAATGGTTTTTCTTGTTTCGTATGTTAGAACTGACAGGATTTCCTGGTATTGAAATGATAATTTCCCTTTGTTTTACTCTTCGGCTTATCACTTGGTTACTAGAAGAGTGGAAATAGGGGAGGAAGACTTCGGTTAAGAGGAATTCACTGAAAATGAGGTACTCATCCTAGGGGTGTGGGAGGACACAAAGAGGGGATATGGCATGGTGGTGTTTGAAGCAGCGTATTTATAGGAAGAACTTAGAAAATTTTATAGACTCCTAGAGTGTCATTAAGGGTTGGAAGGAACCCTTCTTTAAAGGGTGTATAGCACTTCCGACAAACCTAACTGAACGATGATCAGAGTCGCCTGGAGAACTTTTTAAACAAACGTACCAATTCCCAGGCTCCATTCCAACCAAAGAATTTCTGGCAGGTGGGGCTTGGAAATCTTTATTGAACTTAGCTTTGCAAATAGCTAAGAAGAATTGAAGAAGTGTCTAAATATGTTAATTTTTTCCACTTTTTTTTCCTTCCTTGCAGAGGCGAGTTCTCTGAGTTTATGAAGAATGGGTTACGTGTTCTTAATTCAGAAATTTCAGTATTACGATTGATTTCTTGATATCCCATCCTCTCAGTTCCCCAGTCGTAATTCTGCTGCCTACGTTATTCTGTGGTGATTGTGTGAGCCTGCAGTGTGTGGCTTTTCATAAGATATTCCAGTTATGATTTTGCTGTTTAAGGGAGAGGAATAGCAGTCTAGCAGTCTGAGGTTCTTTTATTATTTGTTGCAATAAATTCAGATTCTTAGGAAAATATTTTGAGATGTTTAGGCCATAATGTATATTATTTTGCCTTTATCAGTATTCATTATCATAACTTGATGCTATTCCTGTATTTAAAAAAATAAGTGCTTGTGCTGGTTAGTGGGTGGGAAGGGAAGGAAGACAAGGTAAGGGTAAGTTATGGTAACTGCTAACTTTATGTGTATATAGTAGGTCTTCTCTGGTCAGGATCATTTCAATTACTGTTTGGGTCATTGACCTCATAGAACTCATTGTAACCTCTAGCCCCCCTCAGAATGCCGTGCAGTTTGTTCTTCTTGGGGCATTTTAAATCAAGGACTATAATTTGGCTTGACCTCAAGGCTGTGGAAAAGAGAGTGGAACTGGTTGTTTTTTAAATTCAGGACCTTTCCCAATTCAACTCATTGGGCTGGGATGTGACCAGCCTAGATGTGAAAATTAAATATAGAGTAGAGGTTGTTGATAGGAGGGATGGACAAGTATTCTCTTACTGCCCTAGCCTCCCCTCCCTGCCAAACACACACACACACATACTTGCTGTAAGGTTCTGCCTGAACAATGAATGAAAGAAAGCAGAGGGGTTAAAACTTTTGTTTTGAAGAGGTGATAATGATAGAACCAGGGTCTTTATTGGTTGGAAGGAGTTTGGTGGGGGAAATGGAGAGAATTCTTTTTAAACAATCTAGTTTACTTGTTGTTTGCTCTTGCCTTTCCACAAAGGACAGACTTGCACCATTAAACAAATTTATATTTAAACTACAAAATCCGTCTTTGATTCCAGATAGTGAAGGATGGGGATATAAAGGCTTTGGGCTTGTTGGAAAATAAAAGCAAGTTTTCGTTCCATTTCAGTGACAAGAAAGGGTTTGCCTGCAGATTATTCTAGTCAAAGGAGCAAGTTCAGTATTATTGGAATAATTTTACCAAAATATAAATTTCCCTTTAATCCCCAGTCATTCCTTCAAACAACATTCATTGAATGCTTTCTGTATGCTAGGTACAGGGAATACAAAGTGCTCTTTCCGTAGAGAGTATTGTAGTCTAATGGAGAAGACATATAAATGAGAGTGATTGATATCAAAGAGACTTAGAAAACTTTTTTATTTTATTTTATTTTTTATTGTACTTCAGGTGAAGGCTTACAGAACAAATAGTTTCTCATTAAACAGTAGTACACATACTGTTTTATGACATTGGTTAAGAACCCCACAACATGTCAACCCTCTCCCTTCTCGACCTTTTTTGTTTTGGTGAAAATAAACATAGCCAAAGATACACCATTTCAAAAATTTCTACATGCACAGTTCAGTGATATCGACTACGCTCTTCCAAATGAGCTGCTATTCTCACTTTAGATGAAGGCTTACAGAACAAAATGGTTGCTTATTTAACAGTACACATGTTGCCCTGTGACAATGGTTAACAACCTCACAACACATCAACACTATCCTTACTCAACCTTGGGTTCCCTATCACCAGCTTCCTTGTCCCCTTCTGCCTTCTGGCCCTTGTCCCTGGACTGCTGTACCTCATTAGTCCCATTTGGTTTTATGGGGCTGTCCACTCCCAGGCTGAATGGTGAACCTCGGATAGGACTTCACCACTGAGCTAAAAGGGTGTCTGGGGCCATACTCTTGGGGTTTCTCCAGAGACTTAGAAAATTTTTATGTGAGCATTGAGGGCAAGTATCTAAATCGGTCTGTGGGTACAGGGAAGATTTCCTGGATGAAGTAATAGTTTGTCAGAATTCCATTCAGGGTTTTCTGGAGAATACCCTGTTTAGGTAGTGAGTACAGCATATGTAGAGGCAAGGAGGAGTTGTTAAAAAGGATGGCTCTGTATGTGGACCATACAAAGTTTGGCTGGAGCCAAGGGATGGAGCTTAGAGATACTGGCAGGAACATACTGTATAAGTCAAATTTAAACTTTTCCTTGAAAGCCAGAGACCTGTTAAATAATTTTTGGCAGGGGAGCAGCATGATCACGTTTCAATTTTAGGAAGTTTATTGTAGTAGTAGGATCCGGCTTGGTAGTGGCAAAGAGGTCAGTTATTGCTCTATCAGGGAGAGAAATGATTAGCACCTTAGCTAAGATAATGATAGTAGGAATGTGGAGAAGAGATTCTGGACATTTAAAGGAGGTAGTGTAAGATTTGATGATTTAATGATATATCCAATAGATGTATATGTATAATTTGGAATACATGAGAGACATTTGGGTTAGAGCAGAAGCTGTGGGCACGGATGTAGACACTGAGGGCCCAGAGAGAACAAATTCCCGGAGAATATGTATTTAAATATTGAGTGAAGAAAGGTTCCACCTGAGAAGGAATACATGGAAGGATAGGAAGAAAACCAGGATAGAACGTGACAGTGGAAACTGTCAGGATAGAGAATATTAAGAAAATCGGTCAGCAGTGTCAGATGCGTTAGTGTGGTCAGATGTAATGTTTGAAGAAAATATAAAGACCAATTAAAGTATTAAAATTGAGCAGGTATTCAAAGTCAGGTTTCAGAAGAAGGTGCAGATTAACATAAGTAGTAAGGTATTTATGTGTTTCAGTGCCCTCTTTTGTAATCTTCAAAGGCCACAACCTCTGCTCTCTCACTTTCTTGAACAGTCAAAGAAATAACTCTTGCACACCTTTAGAAATAAAATCCCATCACAATGAAAATTGGATACAATAGCAAGTTTGATGCCTTGTTAAATGCTTAAAAATGGAAATCGAAGGAGTCATCTTTTAGAATGAACAAATCAGCTTGTAAATAAAACGAAGGGGTTAAATGTCACTTAACTCCTTTGAACCTGTTTTCTTGTCTCACTAAGCACAAATTTGTATGATTCCCGATTTGACCTGTTTGGATTATCCAGTCCTTGAATTTTCAGTTTATATTTTTCATAATTTTTACAGCTTTATTGTTATCTTCTTTCTTGAGTAGTGGTGCTCTAAATATATACTTTTTGAATTTTTTCTTTCCTACAGACATTTTGTGATCCTGAAAGCCAGACTTATCTTAGTTCATGGTGATTTAATAAATGACTGCTCTGGACCATCTTAAGGTTTTTAAGACTTTATCTAAATTCTCTTGACATGACAACAACAACAACAACAACAAAAAGTTACTGTCGAGTTGATTCAGGCTCATGGCAACTCCATGTGTGTTAGAGTGAAACTCTACTCCGTGTGGTTTTCAATGGCTGTGATCTTGCTGGAAGTAGATTGCCAGACCTTTCTTTGGAGGCACCTCTGGGTGCATTCAAACCACCAACCTTTTGGATAGTACCTGAGCACTTAACTGTGTGCTACCCAGGGACTCTTTAGGAAGATAAAGGGTGCCAGATTTTTAATTAATTCTAAAATCAGGAGCATGATAGGTGAGAAAGTTGTTTTTTCTCTCTCAACGTCTGCTGATCAGCCTTTTATTGAGGAATGAAAAAGAACAGAAATGTGTCTCGCATCTCCTAGTTTAAAGTTGAAAGAAATTTATTGATAACCTTTTATTTTAGAGTAATACACTATGCTGTAGACACAGGCTCCTTTGGTATGTGAAAATAGTTTTAGTAATTCTTGATTTGTACCTTTTTTTCCCCCTGCCCTTCTACTTTGTTTTGAAATAAGCTTTATCTAGC